ACTTTTAATTAAAAGAAGAAAAAAAAAAAGTAGTTCATCCAAACCAATTCAAATGTACCGTTTCTCCCAATTACTGTGGAATGCAGAGGTCATCATCATATTGCATCATTACATTGAAGAATAATCTAGCATGAAGTCCTATAAATTAGCTTAAATAGCTTGTGTGTTTTCATCCATAACAGCGTATTTCATAAAGATATACCACTGCTTTTCTGTGTACAAGGATCTAAATTGAACAGGCGCATTACATCTATTTTATATGAACTTTAATGAGAAAAGGCTGATATGAAACTCCCTTGCCTATCTATAAAGTTTAAACATTATGCCACAGAAGAAAAACAAAAAGATCTTATTTGGTGGCTGCACATTAGGCCTTGATGCTTTAGATTGCCTTTTTTCTGAGAAATGTACCATATTGCTGGCATTTCTATTCAAAATAAGCTTGTGTTTTATAGAAAAGGGTTCAGCATTTACAGTGACATATATAAGAACAGCACAGCAGAAAACTCTAAAATATAATTTACAACTCAATCTAAGGAATCATCCATTTTAAAAGCAACAAATACTGCATGAAAAGAACAACGCAATCCCTAGATTTTTATCAAGGGATGCTGGTTTATGATACTTTACATCAAACTCCGAATACCTTACATACTTTTATGCCCTGACAGTGGATCACCTTTCCAAAAAAAACCAACCATAATGCACCTATATGCTATAAACAAGTAAGAATTCTCCTAGAACATATGTTGCATGCCAAATTCTTTACAAAAAATAAAATGAAATCAGGGACAGAGCTCCATCAGTTTTGTTTTGGATCACTGGTGAGTACATACATAATGACTTTCACCTCTTGAAACCTCTCTGCTTCATTCTTATGCATAGACTTGAAGGGACATTTATGCGTTTGGCTTATTGCATCAATTCAGAGGATAGAGTTACTGTAAAAATTTACATTACTGCAGACTTGTAGTGACAAAGGAGGCAAGCACAAGAAATAAGCTTTTATTGCATTTATTTTAGATTTGATGGAAAAGTGTAGTCATTTGGTATGACAATAGCCACCATGAAATTTGATTTGTTTATTGATTAAATTACATTTTATTTAAGCAGATTTTTTTTAAAAAGTTGAAATTTCAAGATAAATCACAAATTTGACCTATCCATCCAGATGGTGTTTCTCCTGAATTGATCATGTATTTCAATTTGCTGTACCCACTTTAGTTTATAGTTGTGACATATGCAATGCACCAAGGACACTTACTGAAACTCAAAGTTAATTTGAATAAACCAGTATTTTATATACTGCTTTCCACACCAAGCTCTTTATTAATACATGGGAAAAAACCCAATTTTCATTTCTCCTGTAATGCATAAACTTGCCTATAGCAAAGATGGCATTTTACTTAAAATGGATTTACAGAATTCTTTAATAAATGAATGTTTTTAAAAATCTCAATGGCTTAGTTTTACTGTAACTCATTACTCTGTTGAAGGTCTTGGAATCACAGGTGGATCAGTCCTTTGGTGCAGATAGTTAAGGTGAAGGACAGATTTTTAAGAACTAAGCAGTGCTAATTTTCAACTAAGGGTACATCTCACTGGCAGCTTGAGTAGACCTCTGAGCTTTTCCCTCACTCCTGCCAACAGCTTTTTTTCCTGTCTTTTTGAGGCGCAGTCTGAGTTAATTTTGGGCTGGAAGATTTCCCTGAACCTGCATGCAGGTGCAAAAGAGGACAGCACACTGCAGGCATAGATTTAGATGGCTGAAAATACTATGGGTCACCTTGGTTTGAACTGCACCACGTTTCCAATAATCAATGTAAGATTCAAAACCTTAAATTTCCAGACATATCACTGTTTCTTATACACAACTTTACTCCCGTTCATCTACTTTTTCTTGGTTTCTCATCTCTGTTATTCCCAAACACTCAAAACAGAAAAACACTCAGTCCCAAAATCAATTTTAAATGTATATTCTGGGTTCTTATTACTGGGTTTTGTTAGTTTTTAATCCTTTAATGAAGTTATTCAAAGCTGCTAAAGATATTTCAGGTTCAACAGGTTTTCTAAACCTTTTTTTTTTTTTGTCTTGGTAAAACTACTGTATTACTAAAGATACCAAACCACATTATAAAACAGTTGATTTAAGACTGCAAATATTTGCCTGCAATAACAGTTATAAATAATAGGAATGAAAATAATTGCCAATACCTGTGGTTAAAGGCAGATGAGTAACACTAGTTAGACAGGTGAGAGTGAACCAGGTTGATGCTAACGTTGCTCCAGATAAAAGCAGCAGCAGTATAAACTTCAGCATGCCCCTGATAAAATCTGCAAATCTAAAATAAAAGCACAGATCAGAGCAGTACAAATGCTGATTTTCTTATTATTTAAATGTGATGCTTGACAATTAATTCAGTACATTATCATTAAACATTTTGGAGACTATAAAAACAATTTAAAAATCGTTTCTCATTTTCAGAAATAGAGAAAAAGGCATTTTTATAGAATGGTGATATTTCTAGCTGTCAAGTGGAAGAGTCATGGATTTTTTAGCTGTCACAAAATAACAACCAAACCAGAACAATTCTCAAGGCATCAACTGAAAACACTTGGTATACAGGAAGAGGTTTTTTTCTTCTGCATTTGTTGGACACAACATCACACCACTACTTACATCGCTGTTTTGTCAGCGTTTGCCAGTCTCCCTTGGCAGACACACCACTCAATTAGCATATGAGGAGGCTGCTGCATTTCATTCAAGACATAGTTAAGCGTCAAGATTCATTCCTGTGGGAAATGACAAAACTCCAAATACCAGAATCCCTAGATCGAAGATGACAAGAAACAGCTTTTGAACCCTCGGATGCACTGGCAACAAAGTTCTCGGTGGCTTAGGCAAAGGAGGAACTCTTTATACAGGTAGTTGCTCTGCCAGTGGCTGTTTCGGGTTGAAATGTTCCAGAAACCAAATGCTTGGTGCCACTCCTCTCCTACACATGCCCCACTGACAGCCTGGGGGAGGACAGCCCCACAAGTCCTTGGGCAGACTGGCTGTTACACAGAGGGAAATATGATCTTTATACCACCTGATGGTACAATTGGTTTTTTCATCTTTTTTTTCTTTTTCTTTCAAGGAGACATAATGCATTTCAGCAGTGCTCACATGGCATAATTATCAGTGCAACTGCTCTTTTCAAAAGGGATTTCAACAAAGCTACTAAAAAGATGTATTAGAAAAGGCAATGTCATTTATCCACTAGTAATTTTCTATAACCTCCTGCTTAGGAGATGTGATTTTGGGCTGGATGGGTTAGGTATGTATGTCTAAAGAATGACTTCTGCCCTCACAGCCTCCTACCTTGACTAGGCTAACAGCAGCACAATCCACCTAGGTTGGTCCATGATGAAACCTGTCCCATCTGTCAGCTAACTGTCTTCTCTCCCCTTACAAAGATCACTTTACAGGCAGATACCATATAGCTTACTTAATAAAACAGATAATGCTACCAACATTTTGAGAACTAGGAAGCCTAGCTGTACATACACCATAAGAGATGTACCAGAAATGGAATAAAAAAAAAAAAAGGCAAACTGAAAAAAAAAACCAAAAACTTCTTTCCTCTTATTTTGATTCTCCCTGTGCTTTAATTCCACATTGAATTTAGCAGCAAGTAATTCAATAAGCAGTAGAGGAAGATCAATGCTGCATATAATCTTAAAAGTTTATGACTGCAGTGTTCCAAGTGGCTTATGCATTAATCTTCTATTAGTCAGAGGTTAGCTGCTACTGTTGTTTTTTCTGACAATCTAAATCTAGCAATCAGGATCACCTCTTCTCAGTGGTTTGCCAGTTTCTTTAATTATTCTTTGGGATCACTGGGGTCAAAATAAGCAATTTTAAAAGCTTCTCAGAAGCATCTCAAAGTGCAAACTTTTGGCTTCTTCCACACAGACTCCCCACTTTGCCTGCTGGTAAACATCACTATTCTCTCTCTTTACAGGCAAAAGCAGTTACATATATCCCATCTAATGAAATGAAAGAAATACCAATCTTTGGGGACATTCACAGACAAGAGGTGCGGAAGGGATCTCTAGGGGGTCCTCCATCTCTATCCTACCACCACAGATGTGTGGGGATGGGAGGATGATACACAACTAAACCATTCAAGATAGTTAAGTGGAGCAAATATCTACCTTTACCGAGCAGCCACAACTCTTTTTGACACAAACATCCTGGTTTGGGTATCAGTAGTAGCAGTGCGCTCCAAGGAGCTCTGAGATATCACAGGACTCCAGAAGGGTCAAATACAAACGTAAAGGTTTATGAAGCTACTGAATTCAGCCAGCAATAGAAATAATGGGAAAAAATGACACAGCAAACCAGTCTGAACTTGGTAATCGAGGGACTTCTGCATCTTGTCCGGTTATAGCAGAATAAAGACGACTGTAAATCCAGTCAACTCTTCAGAATATTTGTTTCAATCAAAAAATGAGAGAAATTATTTTTATCCTCTGACCCCAGTATCTGCTTTCAAAACTCTCTGTTCTGTTTAAATCCTTCTTCATCATCTAGCATGTAAGGGGATGTCTGCAGCTGCTAAAAAAGTAGGCACACCAGGACAGAAGGTGTACACTTATGCAGACACAGGCCTCTGAGCCTACTGCTGGTAACAGTCTCCTGCAACCCAGCAAGTCCAGCCCTAGGCTGGATCCTATGGTTAAAATCACAAACCTGCATTGCTGACAACACTGTCTGTTGCTAAGGAAATTATCACCTTATCATAAAGTTTCAGCATTTTAACTACACTGCAGGTTAAAAGCAGGAAGAAAAACTGAGCTGTGGAGGACAAAACCTCAGAAATATCTATGATCATTAGCAAATGTGGCAAAAAAAAAATCTGAAAAGAGAGAATAGATTTACATTTCCATGCAAGGATATGAATGTCGCTCTTTGACACTGCTTTTCTTCAAACCAGTATCATTTGAAAGCTGCCAGCAAAGGGTACAGCACCTGCCAGCTGCCTAAAATAGCCCAGGCTTTTCAATTATAAAAATGCATCACACAAATTAGCTAAACATATCTAAGTTCACGGCTATCGGGACAGCAGTGGGCGGAGAGCAGGAAGATTTATGTATTGTGCTGAAGAAAACTTGCACCATTTTGAAAATGAGATAGATAAACAATTTTCCAAACTGGGCATTACTTTAAATATAGATGATTTAATGCCCACTGTGACATGCAAAATGATCAAATGCTCCAGAGCAAGGCTCAGGTTGTTACAGTTCTTAATGCTGGAATCTGCACTGACAAAAATGGAAAGAGCAAATTCCTAAACCGCACCAATTTTGCCTTGAGAAATCAGCAAAAAAAATATTATGGGGAAAAAATAAACAAACCAAAACCCAACAGCTTCTTGAGAGGTGGTTAAGGGAGAGAGCTGCTTGCTTGGCAAATCACAGTTCTGACACTGAAATACATCAACTTGTCAGCCTTGACAAGAATCATTACTTAATTTTCCTAATTACAACTTTCAGCAGATTACAGTCAGACTCATCATTGATTCAACCCTACACAGATAAATGCTGAATAGGCCTAGAAGGGAGAGTCATCCATCAGGAGTGACAAATCACCTTCTCCCTCCCTTTCTGTACGCAAACCCTCCCATTTGAACTGTGTATCGCCCAAGTTAGAAAGACATATTTGGAGACAGACTGTTGGTATTTTCTTAATTTACTCAAAAGTAAAGCTCTGAATGCTACAAAATACTAGTATTCAACAAGGTTTGAAATAAATTTTGAAGCAGTTAAAGAGACTGTCAGCATTTCCTGAAATTTAATGCAGGCAATATATTAAATAGATTAATCTACCATAAAGATTGAGATTTGCATGTTGGCATTCAGTCAGCAGATTCTCTCCTAACAAAAGTTAAGTGAGCTGCTAAGGGTGCCTCTCTGCTATTGAAATGTTGCAAATACACCAGAGATTAATTCATGATGGAAAAGATTAAACTGGCACACTACCTGCTTCAACATGTAACCTGCTATGGCAGTTGTGTCATTTACAGCAGTTGGTTTTAAACATCTACTTCCCTCAGAAAGAAAACCTCGTACCTGAGCTTAGCTAGTCAAAAGCAACACTTTTTAGAGGAAATCAGGGTGTGAACTTTGTTTCAACAAATTAAGTCCTTTGGCCTGCATCTGGTGCAGATAGGAGGGAAGCGCTTGTTTCTTTTCCCTAGGTCAGGAGTTTTTTCCTCTCCCTCCATCACAGTTGCTAAGCAGCCTGCAAAATGTCAGGATAAGAAATCTCACATTTCTTTATGCATTTTGTACTCTGATGGTGCACAGCAAGTGAAAAAAAGAGCTTCAATTTCTGTCTTAAAAAGATGCCTCTCTGGGTCCACAATCCCACAATGACTGCAACGATGACAGACCCCTGCACTTGTGCTAAACTCACTGAAGAACTGGAGTCTAAAGAGTGGACACAGAGAAGCCAAGAGAATGCTTAGATATCCCGATGCAAGGGGAACAAGTAATTGGTTTTAATCAGTCTTACAAACTCACTGCTCAAGTACCTTCTGAAAGACTTTTTCTCCCTCCCCTCACCCTTTTTTCAAAGGGGATCTCAACAAAGAAAAAACAGCAGTCTTTTGGAAGGGCAATCCATTTCTTGCTTTTCTGCTCCCCACATCATCAGCATTTCTGACGGCCAGAGAAAGCTGTGTTTGGATATATAAAAAGCATAGGTACACCCATACTGTAGCCCATAGCAGTACAGTCTGGGCCCAGGGAGTTGTGGTCAATGGAGCTAAATCCAGTTGGTGGCTGGTCACTAGCGGTGTTCCCCAGGGCTCAGTTTTTGGGCCAGTTCTGTTTAACATCCTTATAGATGATCTGGACATTGGAATGCAGGGCATCCTCAGTAAATCTGCGTATGACACCAAGTTGGGTGGGAGTGTCTATCTGCTGGAGAGTAGGAAGGCTCTGCAGAGGGACCTGGACAAGCTGGATAGATGGGCTGAGACCAGCTCTATGAGGTTCAACAAGTGCCAGGTCCTACACTTCATCCACAAAAACCCCATGCAGCATTATGGGCTGGGGGAAGAGTGGTGAGAAAGTGGTCAACTGGAAAAAGACCTGGGGCTGCTGGTTGACAGCCGGCTCAACATGAGCCAGCAGTGTGCCCAGGTGACCAAGAAGGCCAATGGCATCCTGGCTTGTATCAGGAGTAGTGTGGCCAGCAGGACCAGGGCAGTGATCGTCCTCCTGTACTCAGCATTGGTGAGGCCACATCTCAAGTCCTGTGTCCAGGTCTGGGCCCCTCACTACAAGAAAGACCTTGAGGTGCTGGAGCGAGTCCAGAGAAGGGCAACGAAGGTGGTGAAGGGTCTGGAGCACAAGTCTGATGGGGAGCGGCTGAGGGAGCTGGGGGTGTTTAGACTGGGGAAAAGGAGGCTGAGGGGAGACCTGATCACTCTCTACAACTACCTGAAAGGAGGTTGTAGTAAAGTTGGGGTCGGCCTATTCTCCCGGGCAACTAGTGATAGGACAAGAGGGCATAATCTGAAACTGCATCAGGGAAGGTTCAGGCTAGAAATGAGGAGCCATTTCTTCACAGAAGGGGTCATTAGGCATTGGAAAGGGCTGCCCAGAGAGGTGGCGGAGTCGCCATCCCTGGAGGTGTTTAAGAAAAGACTGGACATGGCACTTAGTGCCGTGGCCTAGCTGACATAGTGGTGTTAGGACAAAGGTTGGACTCCATGATCCCAGAGGTTTCTTCCAACCTGATCGACTCTGCGACAGCAAAAAATAGTTAGGTCGTATAAGAATCCAGCAACCTGGCCAAAATGGGCCCAGACTCATTTGTCTGCGGAGGAACGTAACATTATTGTCAATAGGCTGCCTGTGCTACATTCCCAATATCTCTTCGTGAATCAATATGCCCAAAAGTATTGATGGAAGGAGACAGATGCTAATTTCTTCAATGCTTTCCAAATGTGCTACAATGGCTTCTCCTTCATAAAAGGCAGCTGAATTCAGAAGAACTATGTTTAGAAGCATACAGGAAGGACTTGTTAGGAGTAACAGTATGACTTGCCAAATTGAGGTATATGCATGTGGAGTTCTCAACCCCCAACTACCACTAACATGGAATATACAAATTATTGCTCTACAAGAAACACATCATAACCCCAGAATGCATTTTCCATTTCAAGTTTTTAGAAGATGAGAGAAAATAAGTTATGTTGAGTATAAGCTAAATGACAATCACAGTTGAAGAAATGGAGAAGAACTTAAAATTATTCCTACCTTGCCATTGCTATGCCAACAACACAACCTCCAACTACAGACCAAAATCCAATCCAGCCTGCATCTACCTGACAGGAAAAAAAAAACAAAACAGAGAAATGTGTTAAAGCTGAGAAAATAAGATGATGTTACATTCAAAACAAAACGTGTGCAGGAGCTGCAAACTGCTAGCAACAGCCCCTCACAACAACCTGAAGTGCAAGACCTTTTCTAGGATATTCAAAGGAAAATAAATTCACTAAAAGAAAGTATGACTAAGTAGCCCATGCCCTAAATGTGACCTCTCTTTATAGCATCTGAGTAATGTCCTCTGGATTCTTATAATAGTCTACCAAAAACTTAGAAATCCTCTTCTCCCCACTTCAGCTTTTCCACCTGGTAAAAATTATTTTCTTTAGTTAAAGATGCAGCAGCCAACAATACTCCCATTTGTTTACCTGCATCTTGTTTGTTGTCAAAAGGTGCATACAGTTCTGAAAATATCCACTGCTAGTGGAGAGTCAGCAGGGAGAATCGTGACAGTTTGGGATGCCAAAGCTACAGTTTATTTTGTTTAAATTTCAGGAGAAGAGTAGTCCATATGTATTAATAGCAGCTTAAACATAAAAAAAGTGATAAAATTGTATGCTAGTGCAAAATAAAAACATGCCACTTGCAAAATAGCTGCTGATTATCAGTCAGGAGATACTTACTTGGCTTACGTGAACTGGCGTTAATATCAAATCCAGAACACCAGACCAGCCAGAAAAAACACCCAGTGGTATAGCATAAGCTAAAGCAATCATCAAGAATCGGAAATTGCTGTGAAGACAAAACATATGCAATTAGCTGCAGCTTATATTAAAAATTGCACCAGGATTAGCTGCTAGAGTAAATGACACTCTAGAATCTATATTCCACCCATCAAGAAAAATAGCAGAGGTCTGAAGGAAGACTGAGCCAGGAAAAACAAGAAAGGTATCCGGCCATGTCACTGAAATTCCAGTGGTTGAGATGTTACTGCCTTAGTACTGTGATAATAAAAAAAGTCAGTCTCTCTACATAATTCAAAGATTTTTGTAACACGCTGGGCTCATGTGTTTCTCATTTCTGCATTTCTTCAATGCATGGGCAACCTGCTTAGCCTAAGTGTATGTTAGGAACAATAAGCACTAATTTAAATGACAAAAAGTGTATTTCAAGAATAAAAATCAGAGATTCATACTTTTTGAATGGTACTTTTTTTTAAAAAAAAACTGTTTTACCTCTCTTTATTTTGCTGAAAGGCAGGGAGAAGTCTGGGAATGAGATGGGTACAGTTGCAAGAGTGGAAAATTTTGACAGTTTGAACTGTCAAAAAACAGAGACAAGTATAATATTCTGCTCTAAATAGTCAATGTGTTTGCTTTTTCCTCCCAATTAAAATTATTCAGCCTTCAGTGAAGATGAAGCAGTCAAAGCTGTGTCATCGTCTTCATCGTACACAACTAAACAGGAGTTGGCAGACAAATACCATCACCAATTTCTCCTACCCACCCACTGCAACTGAGAGCAAATGTGAAATCTTTGCTAAGAGACATCCAACTTTTCCTCAAAAATGTTTCAATTTGGGAATAAAAACAGAAAATACGCTTTGGACTCTGCAACAGTGATATTTTAAAGTGATGTGATTTTACAGCAATTCCAAGGTTATCCCATGGGCTATCTGTGTAACCACAAAATGTACACCTCCCCTCAATTCCCAAACAATTTACATAAAATTGATCCTGATCAGTACCAGTTCCTTGGCATGCAGCAGCAATTTGATAGCACATGGTTACGAAAGCCAAGAGGGAGAAAAAGAGCTTCAAATACGCTGCAAAACATTCAGAGGTTTGCAGCTTACACTGTTTTACTCCCCTAGAAGATCCACTCACAGCACAGCAGCCAGTGTTTTTTTTCACCGTTCTTTTTCACACATCTTCTTCTCGAATAACACATTTTATCACATGAACATATCCTCCTCTTTCAATATCATTCACGTCAGATTTATTTTTTCATGCAAAGAAAAACAACTCCCAAACTTTCAGCTCTTCTACACACTGCTTATATTTCTCTGAACACTAAAGCATTTGCTGTCTTCCTGACAACTTTTTTTCTCTCTTAAGAATGCTATACTTACCCTAGTCTATCTTGTATCATCTTGGCATTGCTTAAGGCAGGTTTTCTGATGCTATTTAATTCTATCCATGTAAAAGCTAATTCAACATCTGTAGAATAAAACAAAAGGGGAAGTGCCCATTTTGCATGGACATTATATAGCCATCTCATAGATTGCAAAAAGGGAACAAGTCTGAATGCAGTCTTCTGAAATAACGCTTGCTCAATATTCGAAATCTTTGGCTATTTGAACTTCATCTTCATTAAAAAGCTACTTTTGAGGGGGTGAGTACCTTGTAACTTACTTGACTGAGATGTCCTGTGGTATATTTGTCTTCTGTAACTCAAGCAACGAGACAGACTAGCACGTGGAATAGCTGCTCTGTGCCATGTCCAACTCCTAGAACCAGTATTAGAGAACCAGCTCTGCATCATGACATCTTCCAGTGACAGAGGCTGCCAGTCTGCCTAGTCTCTGGAATAAGGAAGGTGACCAGGAGAAAGGCTGCATGGCAGTGACAAAGTGGCACCGATCACCAGATGTCATTCTGTCCCCTTGTCCAGCAATAGCTAGCACTGGCTACATTAAGTGCTAAAGCTATTTGAAACATACATCTTGAGCAGCAGCTCCATTTTTCATGGTTTCAGTCACTTGTATTTGTTTTTGCAATTTTGCAATTGCTCCACTGAAAATAGAAAAATGTGCTGTCTGTCACACCATCAGTTGGTGAACCCACACTGTTTTCCATCATATCAGCCCTTATGACAGGATATCAGCATTAGCCTCTCTGTTAAACCATTCTGCTGGAATAAGAATTGCCTTTTTCTTCTGTTTTTTTGTTAAACCTACTTAACGCCACTAGAATCTGTAAGACAGGCGGGTTTAGAGGGCAGTCCTGTCAAAGTCAGTCAGCATTTTCAGAATAACTTTGCCAGTGTCTGTTAACATCAGGCACACTCTAAACAGCTTCCATCACTGGATGGTGACATCATATGAAAGTTTCATTAAAGAAATAATGATGCACAAAAAACCTGTTACAAAATTTCAAAATTGCTCACAGTTCCTTGAAAATATAAAAGGCATGTAACTGGCTAAAAGCGTCTCATTACTTCAAAGCAAAAGTCACGACATGTTTTCTTAACACAGATTTTAAGAGTTACCAACTACTTACTTGTATTAGAATTTTTTCCATGGAAGTTTGTGGTATATTTTGAAATAGGAGGGGGGAAAAAAAAAGTCCTATTTGCTTCACGCAAGAAACTGAGAAAGGGCACCGTACTTTTTCTAATGGAAATTCAAACTACACTTGTCACAATGTGCGATACACTGTTAAAAGATTTGGGCTTAGCTCCCAAACCATGACTAATCTGTTGTCTGCCATTGCAGGCTAAGAGAGTTGGTATCAGGAGATAACCAGAGCTCAGCTAATTGTTACAATCTGTCATAAGCAGGAATCCTCCAAATCAGGAGGAAGAACCAAGTTCCTAAGCAAGTCCCAAAAAAACAGCCTACAGGGGATGGTTGACCCTAAGAAGATATGTATAATACAACTCTGCAAGAGGCAGCTCATGAAGATGACTGCTCAAGGAGCTGAAGGCATGAAGGAATGCTGGAGTTGCAACAATGTGATAGATCCCTTTGGCGTCCACAGAAAAAGGTCAATGACTTCAATAGTACAGTTATGCTACGCAGCTTTATTCTGAAGTAATAAAACTGCAGCCTGGGGGAGCAAAGAGGGAACTGATGAACATCTCAATTCTCATGAGTGTTTTTTGGTGTATAGTTGGCTCAGCCCATCAGCTCACACACGTCCTAAACGTCTTACACACCGTTCTTACACCAGAGGGTAAGTCTGCAATAAGGGGAAATTATGATTTCCTGGTACTCATCTGATTACCTTCAGTCTACACCATTAAGTCAAAAGAAAAGCTCCCTGTGCCAAGAATTATGAAGCCCAGATTAAGCAGGCAACACAGTTTAGCAGCCTAATGAACCAGATGATGGATTTCTCTTGAAGCATGGCAGATACCATTTTCTTTTATAAAACCCCCTTGCTTGATGAATTGTTGCTGAAAAGCTCCCCAAGATAAGTGGGTTTAATGATGAGCTGTTGATTGTTTCATGTACAGAGGAATGAAGAAGTTCCTTTGATAAGGGGTAGCATGGAGGAATGCATAAAGACCAGAGGGAAGGGAGATATAATGATCTACCTGACCACATTTCAAAAACCCTCTTGGTTCTTGGAGACACTATAAACTATGCCCATTATTTAAGCATCCAGTTTGTTTTATTAAGTTTCATTGATTGTGAATAGTAAGCCAGCTTTGCTGTTTACCTCCTGACCGTACCAGTACCTCAGGTCCAGCGTTTACAACACTTTGAACAAGTAATCTAATGCTTATAAAGCTCCCAAATGGAGTACTGTCAACAGAAATTCTATATTTCACCTGCAGAGTCACCTGCTGTTTGGTTTTCTGTTCAACAGCAACATTTTTATAACACAGCCCTCAGGCAGGGTCTCACCGCACACCAGCTTGGGTGCGTAACAGCATTAGTGTGTGTGCTAAGTGTCCTTACAGGAATTGCCAGTTTTTAATATCCTGAGTAGGTCACTTTGCAGACTAACCAGCCAGCTGTACTCACACTTTCTCCCAACTGCCAGCCTGCTCCAGGATGAACATACAGGATTAAGCATCTTGTCAACTATTTAGTCCCCCAAACTGAAACAAAAGCCTCCAAAAACAAAAGAAAAAAACCACAAAACAAAACACAAGGGATGAGTTGTTTGAGCTGGCTCTATACTTTTAGAAGGTACAGCCCACAATAGGTCTGTAATAACTAAATGTCTAAAGCTCCACAATTATCAAGTTTCAAGCAGCCCTTTGTACACAGATTCAGCTCCTATCACTACATCACCCAAGAAAACAATTAACAGCAAGAGTTTGAAGCCCCCCCAGTGAAGTCAACCATACTTGGCAGCAAGGGAGCGGTTCTTCTTTGCCCCAAGAAGTTCATCTGTGAAGCACCATGTACAGGGCACAGGCCTCCACAATTATTCAGCATTAATATTACAGTTGCTTTAGCTGTTCCTCTGAGATCAGATTCCCCTTACACAAGACATTGTACAAACAATGCGGGGGCAGGACCGTGTCTTACCAAAAAAGCCAAAGTGGAAGAAATTGCAAAGCTGGATATGTCACTTTCTTTATAACCTTCTGTATTTTTAAACCCCAAAATTTAAAGGAAACTAATTCACTTTTGAACCTGTCCAGAAACACATCTGGAGACACTTCTCCTATTCCCACTTCATATTCTGACACACAATTAATGAGATTTAATACATCAGATAATGGTTTCACACAGTTCATTCATTGCTCCCACAGCTGAACGAAAGCAGCTGAATACTCCTTTGAATGACAAGCAAATCCCAAATTCATTCCAATATAAGAAGCAGCAAAGAAAGCAGCTTATTAGTTAGTTATGCCCAGTGCTGTTAATTGTTATCTCAGACGTAGCAGTATGCACACTGTTAACAATCTTGTATAACCTGATGTAATAGAAGCATTGCACAAGAAAAGCCGTGCTAACAGGATGACTAAAGCAGTGTCAATGCTGAAGGACTCTGGCATGAAGGCTTGAGATGTACCCAATGATTTAAAATTGAAAGTCTGCTTTTTAGCAGTTAGCATCCTTTTATGTCTCAGCATTAACATTTAATTTTATTTTGTTTAAAAGTACCACAAACCAACTTGCTTGCTCAATGAGAAGATTAAAGCACACTTATTTTTATTTAGTTAGTTACTGATACGCTTTAAAGCGGAAATCCAATGAGGACCTACCTTAAGAGTCTGCAAAAACTTCTCCTGTAGCTGAGCCGTTGACTCGCTGCAGCCACGCTGGGAGGGAATGGAGGGCGCGAGGGGAAGTAGGCCAACGCTGCAGAAAATATCAGTGAAACCATTCCAAATTCTAAACAAGAGGGCAAAGAAAAACAAAACCAAGAACAGATGTTAGCATCGAAAGACTTATTTTCGTACAGCATTGTTATCAGCCAGCCTCTGAAACATAAATCCTACCACAAGCGCTTTACTGCTCCCTCTATAACAGAATTCTATAACTTGAAGGAGAATTTATTTTTTCCTCCCCAGGCAAGATTTCAAATTGAGATGGAGACTTGAGATGGAGATACCAGCAGCCCATTCTAGTGACAGGAGCTGCAGAGAACCAAGCTCACACATGGGGAACTCAGTGAAGCAAAAGGAAAGCTTTTCCTTTTTCTCTTTAGAGAGAACTGCATTATGAAGATCTGGCCGCATTTCCTCATGATGGAAGTAACGCAGTGCAGGTAACAGCATGCTAGAGACTTTAAACAGATGGGACTGGGGAAGCCCCAGGGCATGGAATGATGGCACACAGGATGATGAAGGCAAACGAAAGGTCAAGCAAGGCAGCATCTTGGACACAAACAGTATTACATGGCAACAGAATATAAAGAGAAAAAGCATAGGAGCAGCCATGGCTCAGGAACAGCAAGAGCACAGGTAAGAGGGAGAAAAAGGAGAGAATGCAGCTGTTTGCAGATTCTCCTCTTGTTCAGCAGCAGGTATTCTAGATCTTTGAAAAATTTCATAGCAGAGATTTGGACCTGAACTCGCAAAGTGATTAGCACTTCACAGAAAATACTCAGCAAACCCCATGATCAGACATTCTGAGGAAAACCAACTCTACTCATAGTCAGTCTAATTAATTTGTTTTACAGGCCTTTTACAATGTATATCATGTTCTCCACAGTCCTCAATCCCAACATTTCTCCTGTCCCCTTTGAAAACAAGATTCTTTGCTGCTGGAGAGAAAAATGTATAGCTGAAGTGTGTTATCTTAAAAGAACCTGTGATCTTATAACAAAGAAGTGTTCACCGACACCACAAATAAATTCCAGCAGAGCTGGATACTCAATTGCATCCATTTTCTTTTTTCTTCTCTTTTTTAATAAATCAATATGAACATGGCATTTTGCCAGCTCTTCTGCTAAATCAGAAGAAAATAAATTCAGGAAACTGAAAGGTAAATAACACTTGGAGTCTAAATGGGTCAGCTGGAGATGGGGAAGGGAAATGAATGCTTCTATTCGGTATATCGGAAAAAAGTCTACACTAAATTTCTTTTGAAGGCATATCGGGAATGTGACAATGCCATTCTTCATGATCAAATACTAAAGGATTCATTTTTAATTACGTGGTGTCTCTTTTCCTGCTGTGGTCTAATTGCGTGTTTTGAGGATCAAGGGCACTTTAACTAGACCTTCTCACTATATCTCCTCTGTTCTCCAGAAAAGTGATTAATTTCTATCTTTGTGTACATTGTTTTTGAGACCAATAGCAGTGAATAAAGAACTGACCATAAATGATCATCCCAGATCTAAGAAAGGGATGAGAGGCTTTGTCACTACAGGATGATCTTTGAGGTCTCTTCCAATCATAATGATTCTATGATAGCAGACAGGGAAGCAAGGCTTGCCAAAAGCTGTTTATCCCCTTCTACTGCATCTAGGTCTACATAGAGGTTTATAGGTATACATATGTATATGCATATGCACGCTTTAATCACATATTAAAGGAAGATTTCAGACTGCAGACAGGTATAGCCAACAAGAATGTGACCACACAAACCCATAAACTTTGTCCGAGGTGTTTGTTATTTAACTTTATTATACTGCAATGCCGTAAGAGGAAAGGCTAGGTCTTTTTCTAAAGCATGTAAACCACATTGATTATTTTTTTAAGTCACAGCAATATTTTATTACAGATGCCCATCTGGGGCCTCTTCTACGGGTTGTCTCAAGATTCCTGCCAGTCAAATTGCTGCAGCAGGAGCAGTATAGTACACTACTTTTTTTTTTTTTTTATTTTTTTAATTATTACATTCAGCATGCAGTCCTTGTAGTACCTTCTTGCAACTCTTCAATGTTTCCCAGTGTTCCACTTTCCAGGCTAACAAATTTGGCTCGCAAGCACTGCCCTCATGCAGAAATGAGCAGAGTTCACTTTGGAAACTAAAGCAGCTCCCTCTATTGAAGAATAAAAGACACTAGTGCCATCTTAGCTTTGTGTATCACACTTGCATCTCTCTCAGAAGTCCAGGTACTGCCAAACACATCTGATTTCTTACATGTTGTGTTCCTTCCTCGTTAGGAAACCCACACCTTTATCTCCATCATCATTTACTCTACCAGACTAGATAAAGAAAAACACATTCCCAGGACAAGATTTAGATTGTAAACAGGGAGTAAAAGTAAGCAAAAAAGAAAAGGTAAGAAATAGGTCAATATTGAGACTGAGGGAGCTACAGTCACAAAAGAGGAGCTCTAGCTTCTAAACACCACAATGGATGCAGCAAAGCACTCTGAATTAGGCAAGTCAGCATAAATTAGTGTGCAGAAACACAGCCGCATACATCTTTTGTGGAGGAGTGAATCTGGAATGCTTCACAAAAGCTGGGTACCACACCACAGTGACCTGTGACTGTCAAAGTGGAGAGATGCCTGCATCTGAGCTTAGGAAGCAGGCACCCTGCTGCCAACGTAAGCCCCAAAGAGAAAAAAGAGGTTTACAGAGACACAGGCCTCCTTTTTCCTTCAGATAGGCTACACATAGCACAAAAAACCTACCCAAACCCAGAAACCCTCCTCACCATCTCGTCCTGAAATGTAAAGGGGGAATGAGGGCACTTTACACATACAAATACTTTTTTTTTTTTAAACAAATACTGATTTTACATTGATATTTAGGAAAGCGCATGTCTAAAAGCTCTGGCTGCAGTCCAGAATAATTCAAACTTCCTTACGTGATTGAGATAATACAATTCAATCCTGATTTGCTACATCTGTACTATTTCAACTGTGAACCAGAACGTGCAGCGACACAGATGACACAGAAAGAGGCTGCGGTAATTCAGTTGAGCTCTTAGCCCACGTTTGAGATAAAGGAACAGCAACTTACTAAAACACAGAAGAGACTGGAGTTAACAGAGCAATTTCAGAATGGTTTATAAGCAATTGCTTCGTAATCACGTTTGAGGTTAAGTCCTTGGAAAATGAGCACACTCTTGGCATGCTACTGATCCCAAGTTAACAGTTCGCACCATTACCATATTTTAAAAGTCATCATCTAACTTTTAGAGGTTGCTTATCTAACACCACCTCACACAAAAGCAACAAGCTCCATCACAAACACAACTCTGTTAGGAATGCAGAGTCCTTATCCAGTGAAACTGGCTTTCCCATAGCATGTGAAAGGAGAAGTCCTACCAAGCCTGACCACACTTGCTACAGAAGTGGGGAAGCGCGACATTCAAGTCCAGCTCCTCGTGCTGCTACATTCTGTAACATCCTTACTAGTAAACTGTGAAGACAATTTGAGCATCATTTTCTGCGGAGCTGATTAAGGGGATACATAGTACTCTACCACATCTACCAGGTATTTTTTGGTCTGCAGACGAACAGAGCTGTACAACTACCACGACACAGCCTTCCTTCCACCTCTGGAGCCCACCCAGCATAACAGAGCACAGGGGAGGCAAACAGTGGGGACCTTGCTCCTTCAGCTCTCCAGGGAAACAGTGGTGAGGAAAGACAGGACACATCACACAAGGGATTCAAAGCAACCTCCTTTTTGACAGTTCCTACCAATTTTAAAACAGTTGGACCTTTTGCCACCTGCGATTCACTGCAGGCCAATAACTTCCATGAACCAGCTCTTTTTCATTGCCTGAGCAGCTAAAGGTGATGTAGCTCCTAAAAAGATGCACCCCGTATGACACGACAAGCACAGCTGCACAAAGAAACCACCTCTGTTCAAAGCACTTTCAAATATTAACTAAGAACTACAAAACACATTTCCTAGGAAGCTGAAGAGCTGCTGTAGGATCATCTTATGCTGGGACCAATGATACAAATGGGTCTATGGGATGTTCCCAAACTGTGGCCGGCTCAGAAAGGCAGAAAGCTGTGCTGAGACATGAGGCAGGCAAGATACACCTCTGAACTTTGGTGGCAAGCAAGATCCATCCCAGTTTCTGAAGAAAATGCTTAGGAAAACCTCCCAGAAGAGAACAGAAGAGAAAGTGAATGTAATGGGCTGCTGAAAAGAACGTTTCTAGTGCTACCAGACTCAAAACATGGTTTTAGGCACAAAATTGTACTTCCTTTACGCAGATGAATTCTTCTCCCTCCATGGAAAATCTGCAGAGGGAGAGCTAAAGCACTCCTCTAATCACTACATTTTTCCTCCCCTTATCTACTGCCCCTCAGGACAAAAGCTGACTTGCCTTCATTTTTCCTCCTCTCACACTGGCCATTTTCATCTGCCATGAGATTTTTGGAGTCTAACATCATATTTACCTCTGAAAAAGGCCTAACCAAACCCAAATTTCCTTGTTATTCTAATACATTTGAGTCCAGTAATAAGTAGGTTACTCAAAAATACTTGCTGAAATAGTGATCCAATTTCTACTATGCTTTCTTTAAAATTAACAGTAAAGTGGCCCTCACCCAACAGGAGTATTAACTGGACAAAATTTCTGCAAGAATAACATCCAGGAATAAATGATCACAAACAACTAACTCAATCCCGTAAACCTGGACATAAACTACACTCTATCTATCTATCTATCCTCACTTTAAGACTTCTGGAACACCTAGGGCTAACTCCTGGCTGAATTTCAGAGGCTGCAATTATAAGGGTGGAAAAACCCAACCAAATGTGCAACTGCCATGACATGGTTAAGTTCATCTGTTCTTAATGACATACCAATTTATATCCACTAAGAATCAAATCGTAGACTCTTAAGCCACTTAAGCAATGCTCTTCCCTTAAAGCTTGCTGCTAATTTTTGTAAGTGACACAAAAAGCTGTAGAATCCATTGCATGAAAAAGAGCAAGGATATAAAATCTAAGTTATATCCGGTCAATTTTATATCAGTGTTTTCTTCCACTAAACTGTTGCCACTTCACTGAAACTGCTCACCACATAAGAATTACATGGTTTCAGTTAAAAACAAGATCTACTGAGTTTTAATTTCAATATTAGATTTTTAAATACTAATAATCTAATCACATTTGAAAGGCATATGCAAGTCATAAATTAAGGTTGATTTAATGCAGGCAAGATTTTAACACTGAAATACTAATGGATTTCCATCCTTACAGAAACAAAAGAAAAAACCCAACCTGTCATGGATACATGTCTTTAACGGAAATTTAAGAAGCAAAAAACAGTTTGGAAGCTCAGGGAAAGCGTAAGCTCTCCTAGAAGATATTTCTCCTAAGATAAGCCAATACAAACAACTGAAATACTTCATTTGGAATCAATCTGTACAAAAGGCTATGTGTATCTCTCCTACACAAAAGGGAAAAAAAAAAAATAACCCTTCTGATGGTACAACATTTTACCACTTCATTATTTTTCATCAGTCAGTAACTGTTGTCTGTGCAGACCAGCCACTAGAGGGTAGTGGTTCACAAGTACCAAACACACACATGAAAGTAGGTACATTTTTTTTATAATTATTTTTTAATTTTTACTTGTAAATCACACCTGCATACAGCACAGCCTCAATACGGTCCTTGATGTGCTCAGTGTTGCTCTGTGATACCAGGGGGAGGTGAGATGTTCCATTAGGAGATGGCACTACAAGAGGTCCCACTAGAAACGCGCCAGCAGCGCCCAGGTAACTGAGCAGTGATGCGACGGCTGTTGCGGTGGCACGTTCATCTGGAGAAAACCATGTTGTGGAAAGAAATGGTGCCGCATTCATCACAGTTGGCCCCGCCAAACCATTTAACAGCTGCCCTCCATGAATCAGCCTAGAATAGAGAATAGAGACCACAGTCATTTAGATGACAATTGCTTGCTTTTCTCTTTTTTTTTCTTTTTTTTTTTTTAATTAAAAAAGCATGTAAGACATTGAGTGCTGGAGATGGAGTGACTGCACAAAGAAATGAAACTCCTGTGCAAAAAAAAGGATACTCTATACACTAAAAGAAGCCCAATTAGTCTGATTTAAAGAATCCAGAGCTACTCTGGTCTCATTACCTCAGATAAATGGAGAAGCAAATGTTCTCTTCAAAGCAGGAAAGGAAGAGGGAATAAAAGGGACTTTATTTGCAGAAAAAAGGTATGATAGGATATGAAAGTAGAAAAGGTGTAGTAGCAGGAAAGCTTTAAATTACAAATGTCTTAAACCTGACCTCTTGCCTGCATAAATCCCAACAGAAGATTTAAATTAGTTATGGCAGATCCAAAATTGAAACACTTCAGCAAAATACTCTGCATATTTTTTCACTGCATTATTTATTTTTATTTACACACTCAGATGAGCTCTATGTGCCTACAGATGAGGAGGCTGGGCTGTTGAGGTTTCCAAGAGAATCATCTTCTCCAGCAATCTGGCCATTCTCAACATACTGTTGAAACAGTGAAGCAAACCCAGATTTTTCTCATTTTTCACACTCATTGGGATTTAACAGATAAGGCTGGTGACAGAACAGAGAGAGTACTTCCAAACAGTGAAGTCTCTGCAAACTTTGGCTTAATATTAGTGCAATGAGTACACGCAGAAAGGACTTTTTGAAGGCTCTTCTACACATGGAAGTCAGCCAGAAACCTTCCACTTTGACTTTTCCAAAAAGTGATCAGCCATGAAAGGCAAAAGCATTTTGGAATTTACATAAAAACTTCATGTCTAAAAAAGAGCTAGCAAGTGAAACATTGCAACCCTCCAAAGCAGATCTATCCATTGTGCAATAAAATGGTGGCAGATGACATTTTTAAATGGGTGGTGTTTTTCTAAGCATAGCAGGAACTCGATGTTATTGCTGCAAGACTTGAGTTGTCAGACATAAAAAGCTACGGCCTGAAAAAGGGGAAACATAAGCTAGCATTTAGGCAATGTTTCAAGCCACAAATGGCTGAATAATATACAGTGTAGCAGGATTTCTTTAAAGCACACAAAGGAATAAAATATGCAAAAGAAATGCTGACAGACTCTTTATCAAATTAACAAGCTAGATTGCAGTAAAAAGGAATAGATGCTATTGATTCTCAATGGATTAGAAATTAAATTTAAAAAAATAATTATAAAAATATACAGGAAAGAAGAAAGAGCTATTACACACCATCTGAAGGAAACACTTTCTGAGCTGGAATAGAAGTAAAATCCACTCCTCAACAGAAGCAATTGCAAGTTTTTGGTTTTGTTTTTTTTTTTTCTAAGTTCACATAGCGAGGATAGATTTCATTACTATTTGTTCATGATGTGCTTCAGATGGACATCACCAAGGCATGGTCAGGCCTTTTAAACATTTGTTAAACTTGGGCCCCCCCAATAAAATGAAATAAAATGGTTCTAAATAAATCAAAAATAAATCAATAAAATAAATAAAAAACATTATCTAAATAATGCTCTGGTATAGTTTTCTGGAGGACACATTACATGAATCCCTTATGGTTACTCTCCAACTCGGTGTACTTCAGACAAACCAAGGTATCCTTGTGCACTTTGGTATTTTCATTCCAATTATCTCACTACAATAAGTTTCTCAAACTTATCCTAAACTGTTCCAGGGTATTTGCAGAGCTAAGCTACATCCCCAGAAACAGCTGCATTTCAGTAGCAAGTGAGGTAACTACTGCAACATATAAAGATTTTATTTCAGTATTTCCTCTTGCTCCAAAGTGAACTTAATGTTTAAATTGTGGTTTTGTCATTGTATGCTAGGAAAACTCTGTCACCACAAAATAACCTTTATAGCTATTGGTGCCATACTAACATGTCTGTTCACTTATACCACTATGATAATACTGTTTTAATTCGGATACTCCTACTCTATAGAAATCATAAGGGCAAATAAAACTCACTAAAATCAGAAAAAAGTACAATAGATCTTCTGCATTGCCTATGGGCATGTAGGCACTTCATCTGGTAGAAGAAGAAAAGTTTGTAAAAAAATCCCAAACAGACTCCCAAGCAAAAACCCCAATTGATATATTGTGAGAATTACACATACTCTTTTCAAGTACCTACACTTCAGATTTCGATTATGTCTATCAAACTCCACCATCTGAATACAGCTCTATAACTGATCTCTATACTTGAGGGAGAAACAGATGTTAATTTTACTTTGCAGATGCAAAGGAAGAAAGTAGTGTCTTAATTCAGAATTTTAATTCTACATTACTTCTCTGTCTTACTTCTTTCCAAAGAAAGAACCAATTGTTCTCTCTCTGTAGGTCTCTTTTGTTGGTGTTTTCCTGGCTGTTCTCTCTCCTGCCTTGCCCTACTTGGTGTGCTGTCTGTTCCCATGGATTTGCCTTCCCCTCTGTGTTTCTGGCTTTGACCAAGCTTGACATCATCATCCACGGTAGAGCATCTCCTATCTTCATATTGCTTAATTTTTCAAGTCTAACATCTTTGGGTTAATAAACATTATTTTCAGACTACTCTGCCACTGATATACAGACTACTACCTCAAATATCTCTGCATATGATAACAGTCTAAACCTTATTTTATCTGTTTTTCAACACTGGCTTGAAATAAGCTACTTTTTCCTGAAAAAAAAAGATTATCTGCATTGTTCCTGTACACATCCTTCACTCATTTCCCTAGAGAGGCAGAGACAAGAGATTCAAAATGCAATCCAGTGCAAAGTTGCTACTCCGGGAGACACACGTAGCAGCTGTTCCATCTGACAGAGAAATACGAACACAACAGTACTCGTGGCTTTTTGCTGTTTGTTACAATATCTTATCATCACTGCACTAGATTTTGGTCTCATAGCCCATAGGAGTCTACTCTTCTACACTGTCAGAGCTAAAAATTACTCCAACACCAAGAGACATTTGTTTCCGTTACTCCCTGATTTCCTTCTTGTTTCTGCTACCGAAAAGGTGCAAAGAGCAACTGCATTTTTCCCTGTCACTATTTCAGTTTTATTCTGCACAAGAAGATTTCTTTTCCCTGAGAAAAGGGCTAACAAGTTAACTTTAGCTCAGGACCCTACCCAGATGGAAAAATATTTTTCAGTCTTATTACACTAACATGATAATTTTCATCCGTTATTTATCCAGCCCTGCTCAGTTTTCAGGTCATTATTTATCCACCCATCATCCAATTATTTTCATGTATCAAAAAGCAGAAAGTTATTGAATTCAAATAATAGAAAATAACACAAGAGTAGAAGGCTTTTTAATCACCATCATGAAAGAGAAAATTGGAAAAAATGACACCAGAAATTCATCCCTGACTTCCAAAATAATTGATGACTGTCTAGCTTAAAGCCAAGGTGGGGAAGTAAACAACTAGCCAAAATAGCTTGTTTCTAACCATTTCAGAAGCCAGGTCAGGGACTAATTTCAAAATTTCAAGGTTTTCGCACACCTGACCGCTATGCTAACTAATTTGTGTGCTCTGTCAAACGTGTAACTTGCAGTTGAACACAAGCCCTTTACAAAAAAAACAAAACAAAACAACAATTATTTGAGGAGTGGCAGTAAATGCTAGTTTGAAATATTATATGCCAGGGCACCACAGTAATAGATAATATATACATTTACATTATGTATATATTTAAAAAAAAATACACAGACTTATATACACAAAAAATATATATACACACTTTGCACAAAATAAAGATCACATTTATTCCTAAACTGGCCTCTGAACTGCAAAAAGATACAACAAGGGACAGTTCAAATACAGCAATAGAAATTGGAGAAGAAAAACTCTTATTGTACTATATTGTCATCTCTTTTCCAAATTTTTGTCAAGTCACATTATAAATAACTTAAATTATATGGTTTTCATCACTTCTCTGAGGGAAGACTTTATATGAGTATTAAGAAGTAACCTGGTTATACCTGCTTTATTCACTCCCTGCTGTCGCTGTTGCAATATCCTAACAGGCAATGACAAAAAAAGCCATGTAAGGCTATAAATGCTGAAATTACAATATCACTGAGCAAACGGGGTATAAAAAAAAAAGTGAGATTATACAGTAAAAAGGTTTTAGTGATTGATGATAATATCATATAGATAAGATGGGAAACGGCTTCCATTTACAGTCAGCTCTATGCATCTTTCTCTCCCCGTACGGGTTGAAACTTTTTATGCATGGTCACAGTCCCATAAGGTATTGGATTTGTTAAGCTATCTAAAAGCTGTGTGTTACATAAACACTTTTTTCTATGTAAAAAACCTAGACGTTTAGTGGTTCTACTAGAGTACGTCTCATGCCTGGACTTAAGAGAATTTTAAATGAAAGAAAATCTCATTAGTTTACATACTCAGATGGGGAAACAAAGGCAACAGCAGAGGAAAAATGACTTGCTCAAAAATTTACCTTTAATACAATGGATTTAAACCACAACACTAAAATAAGTCTCCAAAGCTCAGTTTTAAGACGTGTTAATTGAACTTCTTTTGGGAAGGCTAGGACTGGAAAAGTTGTATCAGTATTTTAACACTGATTAACAGAGTGGAAAAAGTGTTTTCACCTCTTCTTTGGCAGGCAACACAGGGGAAGAGCAAGGCCGTCAGCCCCAGTGCACTGCTCTGACTCTCTAAACACGGATTTTCTCTACCAGCCTCTGACGAGCCCCAGTCAACTGGGAAATTAGGTTCCTCTGGGTCCTAGGAGGGAGCAGAGCTCATCCCAAAAAGCCTTCTGAAGATGAGATTTTGGTGCAGTTTTTTTTCTTGAAACTTTTACCATGCTTTTCCCACTAGCTGCCATGAGAACTGACTTAGTCAATTGGTTTAGTCACTTAGTCGCCATTCAAACTTCTATACAAATGCAATGAAAAAAAACTGGTAATTCATTTTTGCTGCTGTTTAGCAAAGTGTGAGGAGCAATGAAGCCGCTGAGCGCGCTAGTCTGCTGCTGCATGAAGACAGTGCTGTAGCGTTCCTCTTAGTCTGGAAAAGTTCAGTAGATTAATTGCTGATCCTAGCAATTAACGCAAAAAGGGATTCTGGATAAAGAAGTTAATGTTTTACAGAAATGGATGGCTAATTTTTCTTTCACATACCTGACATTTTCACTCACTGAAAGAAGTGGATCGTTCAATTCCTGCTAATTTGGAAGACAAATATGTTTATATAGCGATCAGCTCATTGTGGGAACTACTGGAAGCAAATGAAAGAGACCCTTCCACTGGAGGACTTCAGAGCACTTTTCAAGTGCTATTGAATTTAGCCTCACTACGTGGCAACAAAGCAAGTAAATACCTCGTTGATATATGATGCAAGTTGCTTGTCCAGGAAAAGGAATATGAAAAGACATGGACTTATGCACATTATACATTAGGAGATTTATTATACCTTGGAGGGAACTGATACCAGTTTTGTCAAGTACCACCTCTGATTTTTCAATCACTAGAAAAGGATTAAGCTTTTC